CTTACAGCTTGAGCCTAAGTGTGTCGCAGGATACCCTCTAGGTGATAGTTCTTGATCACTTTTTGATAAATAATTCGTTCTTATTGCGAAATAGGAGCACTATTTTTCAATCTGTAACAGAAGACGTGAGGAAATTCTGTCTTTTTTAAAGACACACATTTTTGAGGCGAAATACCCAACAAGAAATTCATTTTGTTGTGTGGATATTCGGCGTTTTTTCTGTGGCACTTACCCGGACGAATCAAGATTTTTCTCAATCGCCTCAATGTCTTGGATACTTAGACTAGCTAAAGTATCTTGAATCTTTTTGGCATCTTTCTTAAATTCTTTGCCAAGAGCGCCTTTGTTTGGGGCCGCTTCAACTACATCAACGGTTTTGGGTTGATCCAGCTTCTTTTCAGCTGCCAAACGCACGCCAGACGCTTTGCTGTGTTGTGTAAGATCGAAGGCTGAACGATCGGCGCAACCTACACATTCAATCCACCCCTAAAACGAGTTTTTTACATCTTTTAAGTTTGAGTTATTCATTCGAGCACTCACATAACTGGTGAGACACTCCGCGTCCCAACAATCACAGGCGTAATGAGCCATTTCATTGGCCATGTGTTGCCTAAATCTTAGTCTTTTGGGGTCAACTCCGCTCTTAACCATAAACTGCTGAATTCGGGCTATGAAATAGCCAAGAGTTTCGTTGGCTACAAGGCCCTAAAATGGCATTTTTAGTTGTAGTTCAGGATCAAAACTGATTGAAGTGTACCGTTGATACAGCAGCCCCGATCGTTTTTCTTTCTGCTGCTTTGCCATCCATTTGGTTGCAGGCGGAATATAGTAAAAGTTCCACGTCTTTAACACTAGGAAAACATAATTTTTGTTTAGGAAAGCTGATTCTAAGCAACGTAAAATTTCCCATCAACTTACTCCTCAAACTTGGGATGATTCTTATCGTTTGGATCACAGAAGTGTTCGATTTCTGCCATCGTAAATTCCCTCACTCGAATCAAACCAGATCGGGGAGAAATTTCATTACGGAATGAGTCTCCAATTTGAGCAACTGCGAAGGGCAACTTGCCTTGATTAAACTCCAAGAGTCGCTTAAAATTGACAAATATTCCCTGCGCTGTTTCAGGTCTGAGGTAACTGCAAAAAACATTAAAATGATCAACCTTTACAGTGAACCATTTGAGCCTTACCCTTTTGCTAGGCCTGAAGGCCCAATTTGCGTTCCAAACATCAAGTTGAATTCAATTGGCTCGGTTAAATCATTGCCAGTTGTTGGGCTTTTCATTTGAAACTTTTGCAAAATAGCCGCCATTTCCTCCTTATTCATCCCATCTAACTGAATTCATCGCATTAGTAAGTTACGGAAGGGATTCAATTTTTACTATTAAGGTACTACTAACTTTGATGACGATATCAGTACACTCTTCCTTTGTTTCCACAGTGGCTTTTTTATCAGCAGCAATTTTTTCCAAGTGTGCCTTAATAAGATGGTCAAGCCTAAAGCATTCGCCGGACTTCACATCTTTAACCATCAGATCGGCAAATCGATCCACATGTCCAGACGCTCTGGAAAGCACGCATCGGTTAATTGAAGTTAATTTGAGACTAAATCACAGCTTACTTTAGGACCTGCTCTGGTGTTAAAATGGAACAAGAAACTTCCAACATTTGCTCCTCAAACACGAAGGATTGTCTCCACAAGTTTAGTAGATTCGACTTAAAAGCACAGCCCATGGGACCGAAATCAAACTGGCCAGAGATCCCGCCATATATGGCAAATGATTGGTCGTAGAAGAATCTTCTTTTTAATAAATCTTCCATTTTCGCTCGGTCAAATGTTGCGTTTGGGGCCAAGGCCAATTCTTTATCTTCCAAGATTTTTTTTCGAGCTTTCAGCTCTAGCACTGCCTTCTTAACGTCCAGTTCAGGCGCTCCGTCTGCTTTTAACTGTCGGACTAAGTCGCCCTAAAATAAGCTAACATGTTTCTCTTTGCTAAGAAAACTATTCAACGCGAAAATTAGGAGAATCGGGTGAATACATATTGACGAAATCCCTGTTTATTGAAATCAAACAAGGTACTGACCTGTTCTTTAACGCTGGCCCTCAAAGGGGCCAAAACCTGTTCAATTTGCGGGTCACCCATGGTATCAAAATACAAATTCAATTTCACTTTTCTGCCCTTCTTATTTTTGCCCCAATCAGTCTTCTGATTGTATTCCTGATTCAAATAGGGGCTCGCTGATAAGTTTCGAGCTTGAACAACTTGAGCACCGGTGTGTTTCAACGGGTTGTTGACAAATTTAAATTTAACTAGATGACGCAAGATTGCATATGCTACTTTCATTTATGTGCCACGCTGGAATATTACCGATAAATTCGCTTAAAAGTGAAGGGAAACCTTCTAGTCTCCCACTAACCAACACAATGCAAAATCGGCAGAAGCAAATAACCTCACTTTGGTGAAAAGTCGACAGACACAGAATATCCCCGGGTGAATGTTCTGTGTCCACAGAGCTACTGCTTGTCTTTGTCTATGATACAAGGTCTATTATAATATTATATAGGAATATTCCTTGTCGTTTGAGCACCTACGAATTTGTAGTTTTGTCCATTTTGTCCTTAAAGAACACTTCAAGTTAAGCACTCTCAGTGAAAATTTTCCTGGATGGTCCATAAATTATGTCAAAAAACACTCACAAACGTTGAGGAAAATCGGCATCTTCAGCTTAAATTTCGAGCGGTGTTGCCAAGCGGTGCAAAACGTTTTAAGAGAATGAAAACTGTCCTTGGGTACGTACCATGTAGTCATTCAATTTGAGCCGGGTTTTCGAGTTACTATCATATAGGCACTTTCAACTATGCTAACACAAACCGGATTTAGTAGTTAATTGATTTTTTTAAGTTCGATGAAGATCCTATGGGCAAAATTGTTAATAAATGCTTGAAATACGTGGCAACACCGCATAGTAAAATTACAATGATACATTTATATGGCAACACCACCTTTTGTAAGTGATAACTAATTTGCAAGTTTTTCAAAAAACAAGTCTACTTGTTTTTACGAATTCTAGTGTGGAAATAACATGGAAAAGAAGTAATTTCCAATACTTTTTTTAGTTTTAGACTTATTGCGCAGTTTTTTCGCCATTTTACGACTGCCCTAAAATCAACATTACATAAACATAATAAAAAAAATACMYAAACTAAATAAATCATATATCTCAATTTCTACAATAAATTCCTTTATTTAGCACATTTCATTTGTTATGAGAACCCAATATTTACATCAATATACGTACATATTTGTGCTATGAGTGAGTTTTGTTGCCGTGCAAAATGTGATTTCATACATTACAAAGCCAATCAAGTTACAATTCAGGATTAAAGCTGCAAAATTGAACTATTCGTTCCAACAACAAATAGAACGATTGATTGTTCGAAATGAA